ATAGCGGAATAAAAGCCGGAGTATTAGAAGAAGAGTTGGGCCACTTAAGAATTTGCTCATAGAGCTCCTCTGCAAGAAACCACGGAACGTCACCCATTGAGCAAGACGACTCCACACCAGAATTGGGTAAGAATCGAAACCGTGTCATCGTCCTTTGTAAAAGATTTCACGAACTGTTCTGCTAACATGTTAGCCTTGTCGTGTTCAGTATACGCGAATGAGCTACCAGCCCTCAGACAGCCAAAGCACCTCCTATCCCGAATTTTGGTGTTCAAATATTTGTAGAAGTCGTTACTGTTACTAGACTCAACAATTTTCTTCTCAATGTAGCTGTTATACCTTTTGAGATGGGCTAAGAACCTCTTTGTAAACTCTTTATATTTACACCACTCTCCCGAGCGCCTAGCCTCGAGAAATAAGCATTCTCGGTGACACATCATATTCTGCAAATGCCTCGGTAGTCGGACAGACTTAAAAGATGAAACGAGCTTCCAAGGGACGTAATGGTCTATTGCATGATGCATATGGATAGAAATAATTCGTATTTATCGTTAACACTGTTCCGCGTTTCAAGCAGAGCAACCCACCGTAACTGAGCAAGGTAGTTGAACAAGTCTGTGAAGTTACAAGCCGAGAAAGCCCTGCGATACACAGGTACCGCAAGAGATTCAGTACCAGCAACCTCACAAGAGATACCTACAATGATCACTATTGCCCAACAGGTGGAAGGACTCTGAGATTATTTATTAAGTTTTTACTGGTACTGAGTATCAAATCCAGGACGTTGCTAAGCCGCGTTGGTTCAACAACATGCTGGGTTAGATTGTGAACAAGAAGAAAATCACGAAAAGAAACTGAAGTGGCGTTGTTAAGTCTAGCTTCACCCCCGGAACTAGTGAATGCATGTTCCCCCCAGACCCGGTATGTTGAAATCGCCGACAATTACCGAGTTGAGCTCACACGCAATCAGATCACTTAGCGCCTTAATAAGTTGCTCAGTATTGGCTGCAACGCAGGATGGAGCTCTATAGACTACTATGATTCGAAAACAAGAGCCCTCATGAAACACGTCCAGCACAAAGCATCTCATAAGCGTCCTCGACTGATTCCCTGAAGACTAAAGTCATGGAGAGCCTAGAATGCACGGAAAAATTACTCCGCCCCCCGTTTTTCTTTGTCTATCACATCTGAGTATATCGTATTCAGACCACAAGCTTCCTAATAGAGATGACAAGCAGAGAGTCGGTTTGAGCCATGTTTCAGCAAATGCACAGATATCATATTTATGAGCTAGAACAGCATTGATGTAGTCCGAGTTCCTTGAGACTGACCTAACATTCGCATAAAACATAGTGAAATTGCTCCTATAAGACCGGGGAGGGAAAGTCAGTTTCCCTGGCCAGCTCGTGTCTCTACCATAACATGGACAGGTGAACTGGAAGGGCTCCACATGGACGCGGCCATTACTCGCCGGTGTGGAGCAAGGTTCACCCGCCGAGCGATGTCCACGCTCCGCACGCCTACGTTCTCTCTCCTCCTTGGTGAGGGACTCTCTTAGAAAAATGCCCCGTTCGGGAAAGAAGCGAAGGCGTGGGGCTCTTCCTTACAATCATACGTTGGAAGAATCGAGATGGAAGTACAACTTTAATGAGCCTATTCCTATCAGGCGACGGTTTTCCCATCCTATACACCGTCATCGGATTACACTCTACTCCAAGAAAGTCAATAACGCTACACACTCTTTGATAGTCATGCAAAACGCGGTCTCTTACAGTAGTAGCTGGGGACTCCGGAACACCACTTATGATTATTGATTTCAGTCTTTCAAACTCTTGACAGGATACATTAAAGTCAGTGCTAACAGAATTATTTTTGACATCATGGTTTGGCAGAGAATCATTATGAGGATGCGAAGAGTGCGCATGAGCTGAACCTAACGAATGATTATCACGAAGCATCTATCTCAAGTCTAAGGTTACAATTCTCGGATCGCAGGGCGGTTATTTCCGCCATCATGGCCAACAAAACTTTCTTGATAGGCTCCGCAACACGTTTAGACTTTGAAATGTCTTCAACTTTTGACTGGAGATCACACCAAGGTAGATGTTTCGCATCCACTGCTAACAGTATTTGCCGAACGAACGATGGGAGAGCTATCGACATCCATAACGATGATGATATCCCATCGCCCACGCCCTCCCACGCCCCCCCCCTCCCCATCGCTAGTGCTACCGCGAGTTCACATGGCATTACAAATACCACCAATAATGGCGTTTGGTTTGCATACGTTGAGATAAAATTCACAGCTTCCCTCTTGCGGCCTCGGTCATCGCCTTGGCCAGTGATGAGGCTCCAGGTTACTCCTCGCTCCTCGGTAAGCAGGATATACTTTGCTTTGCGCTATCCAGGAAGGCCTGGAGTGGTAGGATGCTCTGTGTCGAGGGCAGAGGTGGAACATCGATCAGCCTAGTAAATAGTATGACAGGAGCTCCTAGTTTTGGTCCGGAGAGGGGCCCCTACCTCATGATTTCGGCCGCTACATGGCTTTTTCGGTCAA